AACTCATAAAATCATTTTAAAAATTGTAGTAATAAATAATAAAATTGTATAAACTATTTGGAACACCTAAGAAAAATGTTAATAAATCATAACCAACAAGAAATTATTTTAAATAAAACAGGCTTTTATTTCACTTTCAAATGGCAGCAATGAACTAGAAAATTATTATACTATCGAAAAGATTGTGTACTATAAAATTAATAAATTTTAATTTTAATAAAATTAGTCATTTACTGAATACTTTTAGAGTTTACATTAAATTCATTTATAATTAAGTTAAAAGGAAATGTGAACATACTGGTTGATCTTGAAACTGCTTGACAGAAATTACAATATTATAATATCAAACTAAATAGCTCTGGGCAGCAAAAGAAAACACAGCTAAATCAAAAAATGACCCCTTTTGAATGGCAGAAAATATCTGCACACCATACTTCTGACAAGGACTGATATCAAAGATATATTAAGAACTCAAAAACTTTCTACATAAATAATACAAATAATCCACTCAAAAAATGGGCAGAAGAACTAAACAGACACATCTTCAAAGAAGACCTTCACACTGCAAAAATGGACATGAAAAAAATGTTAACAATCACGTATTATTAGTGAAATATAATTCAAGGCAACAATGAGATCTCATCTCACACCTGTGAGTATGGTCAATATATAAAAAAATCATATTTATCAATTTATGATACTTTAAACAGAAATGAATGGATTAAAATAATAATATTCATTATTTCATTTATCTAATTATTCTTTATCAAAATAAATACCTCACAGTAGATACCATGAAGTCAAGATAAGTGAACGGTGTTACAGTCTTATAACATCGGGCCATCAAAGGAAACACATACTAACAATTATCTAAGATATATTTGAACATGTTATCAGAGATGCCAAACACTTATAAATACTAAATGCTATGGTAAATTAGCTTAGTTTGTGGTTTCAACCCTTTCTGCCTTGTGACAGGATAGGTACAAATTCTACTCACTACTGATGTTAGTCTTGCATGATTCGTCTTGATCAAGGAATACTGAAATAGGTACAAATTCTTCTCACTACTAATGTTAGTCTTGCATGATTCGAGGAATACTGATCAAGGAATACTGAAACAACTAGATTATTTCTGAGCCAATGCCATAAAAGGTATTATGTCCTTTTGTTACAGGACAGGATCAGGAGTACCCCAGAGCCTCCATACATGTTTGCTCTAAATAGGTTCTGCCATCCACTGCATCAAGGCAAAACATTTCTAGCACATAAGACCTTTAATGGAAAAGGCCTTTAATAAAATGAGTGTGCAATACAGAAAAAAGGAAGAATAAAGTTTCCAAATCAAGCATTTTAAGTTACCCATTCCCTCATGAGTAAATGTCCAACCAAACACCACTGAGTCCTGAGAGCCCACCACAAGTCTAAAGCACCTCCTGGTGGGGACCCATTTGGAAGGGGCAGAATGGACCCAAAATGTCCAAGACAGAAACAGCAAAGTTAAGATAAAAACTACCATTGTTATTCACCCATATCTGTTTTAACCATTCCAAGACCAAGAAGCAAGCCAGATTTTTCATATGTCTCTCTGCATCATGTGCCTCCATCAGGTGTCCTTCTGACTTGCCATCTTTTTCTCTTTACTTCTTATTTTTTTTAAAGATGTATTTATTTATGCATACAGAACTGGGGTACAGGCCAGAAGTGCAGGGGCAGTGAGTGGATTCACAAGAGACAAAGTGTGGAGCAGAACAGGCTGACTGACAAAATACACTGCCGAGGGGAGCAGCGGGCAGGTCAGGAGAGGTCTGCCATGCCATGTGGGTCACCTCCGGGGTGGGAATCGAAATCATGCTGAAGTGGTTTTAGCTTCTTAGTGCTGTGCTTTAACCTGCTGTGCCACCAGGGAGGGCCCTCTCTTTACTTTTTTTAAAGATTTATTTACTTATGCTTACAAGAACTGGGGTACAGGTCAGAGGTGGTGGAGTGAAAGGACCCAGCAGAGACAGAGTGGGGAGCAGAACAGACGGAATGACTGAAATACACTGTTGAGGGAAGCAGCAAGTAGGTCAGGAGAGGCCTGCTGCACCATGTGGGTTATCTCACTGACTGGCTGGCTGCATGGGAATCAAACTCATGGGCCAAGGCTATGGATAGCTTCATAGTGCTGTACTCGGTCCAACTGCACCACCAGGGAGGGCCCCCTTTTTCCTTTCTTCCTCAGTCTCTTCTCCAGTTTCTTGTCACCCCTGCTCAGTTCCACCCTCCCTTTGGTGAGGCAGGGAAACCCCTGACCTGGAACTTCCCCTTTCCCTGAAGGTTACCCTGTTACACTTTTATAACCTCCTGATCCATTGTGAAAGGACCTTTTCAAAAAGTTTCTGCTAGTCCATGGAGAATGTGGACGAGTAAAGCAGAACTAAACCAGATCTACCATCTGGAGCCCAAGCAAGTCCAATAGTCTTTTAAGTGAGAAATAAATAGCTATTGTTAGAAGCCACAGGGTGTGAGGTAATTTGATTTACAACATCACTAGGACAATCAATTGGAAAAATTAATTCTGTCATATTGGAAAGCATTAAACAAGGCATGACAAAGGGAATGGTATTTCACCTGTACTTGAAAGATTAGTAGACTTTTGGATTGAACTGTCTACCTCCCTACATTTACCAATTCAATCAGAGTAATGGAAAATGAACATGTATTGATTGGTACTTGAAGTTATTTTGGTAGCAAATTTGTAGAAAATTTTAGGAGGATGCACTTCTAAAACAATTATCAGTAAAGTGATGGATGATACAATAAAGTTTATTTTTTTTTTTTAATGAAAACTTTATTTTGTCACATAGTTATTAAGTAACACTCCAAACCAGTTTGCAGTTTGTTCTGTTGCTCACTAGGACACTAGCACCTCATATTTTTATGTCATTAATATTTTTATGTCAGGATAATTTCCCCCATTCCCATATACACACACTGTCATTTACTAGGTTTATTCTTCTGTGATACATTCTCAAAGTACAGTTCATGTCTTTATATCAATATTCACAAATTTGTCTAAGTGATTTGTATAAATATTTGTTTAGTGCTTTTCTCTTCTTTGCTAATGGGTTCCAAATGGGTGGAGAGATTGTTTCTGTTATGATCCCTATGATA